TTTTGCTATAGCAATCGACAACGTTACTTATATTCGTATATGAGTAGGGTTTCGAGACTACCTCTCACCTTAGACGAAATAGGGTGAATAAATCTCATTTCAAATTATTAGTTTGCTATTTTGCAATACAGCATAGGCAATATGAATAAATTCCTTAAGTTACTGAATAGCTATTTACTGAATATCTAGAACGCCTAATTTCGTTATGGACTAATATCAAGACGACTGACTACTCTTTTTGGTTTTCTATTTCGTAGAACTTTGTTTAAGGAACCGGCAAATGCGGTTTTCCTCTCTTTTCTAAGAAAACTCATGGGCTTATTGAATATTTATCATTATCAAAAGACTGCTGGCCACATTTGGTGACTTACCTTTTCCGACTATTACGATGTCTATCACGACGGGATTGACAAGAGCTCAGTTTGAGTGGACTAGTGTCGCAGGACAGTGTGCCGAAGGTTGCTTCGCACAATCAACGTTCACACCTGCCCGTTTCAAGTGTGACTGATTTGCAATTCCTCTCCATTCAAGTTTTCCTTAGAGATGAAATGTCGAGTGAAATTGAATTAAGGAATTTTTCGAAACCCCTATCTTCTTTATAAATAAACTAGCAGGCCTTTTGTACAATTTCGTAATATTCACTTGATATGCTGTTGCTTATAGCCCACTTGATCAGGCTGCTAGGGCCTCTATAACTAGACGATTGTGATTGGTAAGACTATAAAAGACATTTACTGGAATATTTTTCGTTCATAAGTATGCTTTCGATACTACCAATAAATGAGATGTATCCACTCTATTTGATGAAGGGGTGATGAAAGGGTAAGCAAGGTCAAGTAAAATTTAGCGGAAACATCCGCTATTCATATCATTGTGGGAGAACTCAACTACCAGTCCTTCATCACCTTAAATAAAATAGGGTGAATACGTCTCATATTTACCGGGCTAGTCAGCAGTCACCGTCACGGAATCTCTAGTCAAGAATGCATATTACCAAAAGTTGAGTTAAAGCGAATTGTATGTAGTTCGCGTTGGTAGCCACATGAGGGTTCTCTTGCAGATGTCTCGACCACACTAATTAAGCACCTTAATCTGTCCTCAATTATTCTGCGTTGATCTTTCCTTTCACTTTTAAGGTATAGCAAGAGTGAGAAGATATGCTTGAGTGTATCTAGTCTCTATGATTGATTAGCCAGAAGCCTGCAATCACGTTGGTAACCCTGATGTTGGTCAAGTTGAAGTGTCCTATTAGTCGTTCCTACGCCTCTTGTGTGTAAGAACGAGGAATGGCCAGTCGAGTCTCGAGCACATAAACTGTAATCTGGTGTGCCTTTGTTTTAAAGAAAGATGGAACTGCGAAACTCGTGTATACAACTGCGTGCCTTCTTTCGATTCCTCGTAGTTATAGGCCTGTAATTGAAGCTATGTGATGCTCGGAATTTAACTTATATGCGTGATTGACTGCAAAATTGCTTCCAGATAGAATAAACCAATTTCACCTTCGACTCTGGAGAGTAGTGTTCCTCATGCGTAGATAATACAATGACCAAACCTAGTTTGGAAATCATCTAGACAGAGCTATTCATTGTAGTCAGTTCTACTGGAATTCTTTCGCCAATGACGCATGCTTGAATTTTAGGCTGATTCTTCTTCACTTACAGGTTGCGGTTTAGTGCTACGAAAGTCTTTGCTCATTATCTATGCCCGTGACATGCCTGCAGATATTCCAAGTTGAAGGTCCGCTGTTGCAAGACCCCAAAAATGGCACATTCCTCATCTTCCCGGCAAAGCGACCCAGTTGCCTATTCGACTGTGACTGCATAATCTTGGTTTTTTTATTTATGATTTTCTGAGGCTCACAATAAAGTGCTAACTGATCAGCAAGCGGCAAAATACGAGCGTCACTTCTAGTTAGACTGGCTTGATATTTTTAACTGTTATGCAGCTATTCAGTTCGAGAAATCCGCTGTCCATTTCTCACTCAACATTCTAACTGATTGGTTCCCAAGGCCCAATAAGTTGCAAGCCATTCATCTGTTTCCTGAAGAAGTAATTCACATCCGGTCGCGGAAAATTGGTCTCAATAATAGTCAAAGCGGCCTGAAAGGGTGTCATTTTTTTAAACAATACAACTTGATATGGCCGATATTTCATCACTAATTGCAGTTGAATTCTTAACTTGTCCTCGAATTCATCGTATACACTCTGGGCATTTCCGAATTCCATAAATTATATTACCACTGCAGTTGATGTGATGCACAAGCATCTTATTCAGATACAAGTCTCAGTTATTACATTTGGCCAGTGACCCTTCCATAAGAGAGTTTCATACATAACCTTTCAATAAAATGCTTGCAGCATCCCTCAATAGCATTCTGTGATAGAAAAACCAAATGTTGAGGCCATCATCGTTTGTCAGAATGTCAGTGACGATAATTCTCTGCATTATTATTATCATCAGTAGTAGTAATAGTAGTAGGCATTGGTGCTCAGACGATAGTTCATAACACATGTCAATCCGTAGTGCCGAAATCGAGTTTATGCGTTGATCACAGAAATGCGCTTTTCCACAACTTTTATGTCGATAAACTTTTGTTCTCACAAAGCATGCAAAATCTAATACAATTTATTTAAATTTAAAGGTACCGCTTATTTTACAGATCCAACTAACTTTCAACGGGCCCATTTACTGAAACGTTCATATTGCAACGATTTAACACTTAACTTAACAACATGCATCACACTGCTGTGTTCTAAAGTCTAAAGCCAGCATGTCGCATCTCTGCTGCACGCCCAATTGTAAAAACCTCATTAACCAGTCTCTTATTATACACAGCGCCTTGCTATCATATGTCACTTTTTCATCGTTTTATCTTTTCTTCTGCCTGTTGTCCTTTTCTGCTCGCTCCGCGTCAATCGACAAATGGTAATGCTTAAGAAGCCCCTCGGGACCACTTCACTGGGAAAGGAAAGGCCACTGATTCTGAATATGTTAAAGCCAGCAACAGTCTAGATGGGTTCTTTTCGGAAGAGGAAGAGACCAGTTACGAATTAGAACTGGAGACTGAGGAATTCGACGAAGAGGAGGAAGAAGAAGAAGCAGAAGAGGTAGAAGAAGATGAAGAGGAGGAGGAGGAGGATGAAGAGGAAGAAGTGGAGGAAGAAGACGATGAAGAGGAAGACGGAGATGAAGATGATGATGACGAGTGGGGAGAAGACGAGACACGAGACAGCATGCCTGGACAGAAGGGATCAGCAAGACCAACTAGTTCGGGAGACGGGGAGCGGAAAAGATCCAAAGAGGTCATACCTTCAGCACTTTCTGCCATTCCCGACGAATTATCCTCCAAGGCAAGTGTATTTCTTTTTTTATATACTATATCTCCCTCAGTCGCTTATCTTCCTCCATAAGCATCTTGCCCTTTTTTCACGTCCTCACCATTCATAAGCTTTGAAACTTAGTGCATTTCACTTCAGTCCCTTAATCGTTGTTTACCACATTGTAATAAGTTGGCGCCCTTTTCTTTATCTCAATTTCTTAGCCTGCTGAAGTTATATGAATTTAAAATTTTGTTTTTTATGCTATTAATCATTCTTCCAAGGCACCGTGTAGTCGGGTTTTGCCTACTTCAACGAGTAAAGCGTGATTCGCTTTGGTGGCAGTGACGCTGTAGGTCACTTTAGGGCTCGCAGGCTTCATGTTGCCATAGCGTCCTCATTCCGATGACGAGCTAAGAGCCGATCTATTGGGGATACTAATATAACACAGACGAAGCATTTTAATTTCTAGGTTTTGATTCTTGTATTTGAAGAAGCTGTTCACAAACGTTAATCTTGCTTTCTTTACTAGACTGAAAATTGCATCAGAACAAAGTCATCTCCTGATGGATTGATCTCTGGAGGAAAGACAGAACGAAAATCGAATAGGCCGGTGGCTCAAGAAATCAGTCAGGAGCTGCAATTTGTTGAAAAAAAGACTGCCGATCTTACATTTGGTAACGAGGGTCTGGAAGGAGTAGAAGGAGATGTACCTATCGATGACGACAGCAAGGAAAAGACAACAGACACAGAAGCGTCAGCGTCTGAAGCGGGATCGACATCGTCTTCGTCCGACTTTGCCATGACCTTCCGAATGCTACCAAGCCGGCCACTTCATCCTGCTCGGGCCGGCCATAATCGTATTAGAACTGCTAAAACGAGCAAACACGCCACCAAAGAACAACACACCGCAATCTCAAGGATTAGAAAAAATCGATGATACCAATAACGTGTTCTCGCTTCTGTCTGGCTGTGCGTGTATGCCCATGTTCATCTTTGTACATGTGTGCGGAAAAGTATTTTAAGATTGTGAGATATCCAAAGCAACCATTCGTCCTTTCATCCAAACGAGAGTTGAGTTGCGAACAAATATATATATCCATCCATATCCATATTCATATTTAAATTTTCCAGAGCATCTTTGGATGACTATTTGTCTTGTCTTTTTTTGATTTGTTGTAATTGTGTCAATAATATTGCGTCCGAAACTGTTTACTTCCAGAGGAAAGAATCCATTCCCTCTCGTCTTCTGCTTTCACTTCTCACTTTGAATGAAATCGGGAGACATGACATTTTATTGGATCCGCATCATACCGAGCACTTCTGATCTTGAATCGCCAAGACTCAGAAGATTGACAATAATTAAACTGGATAGTAGATCTAATCGAAAGATTTTTAATCAGCCAGTTTGCGTCTTGTTGAAATCGTTTTTTTGCATTGGAATGACTGATAAGACTGACCGGAAACGGGACTGCACAAAGGTCCAACTTAAAATGACATTAGGACGGTTGGGTTGATGAATTGGAAAGTCCAAATCAGGTGAACTCGTGAAACGCAAAAAAGAAGGACTTTGCTTAATACTAATGGAAAACAAGTGGAGGTCAAAAAGTAGTTATTTCCAGTCCAAATAAAGTAAGTCGCTACACAACTTCTTCAACTACGATGCGAAATTCAAACATAAGACGCCTTTATTAATTTAACTTAGGCATCATGCGAGAGTGAGTGGTGGATATCCCGAAAGTTTCTTTCCTCAACAAGCAAAATGAATATACAAATTAATTTAAAAGTAATGAAATATTGTAGTCTGCAAGGGAGATTTTACACTGGAATGAAAATTAACAAGAAAGCAGACACGAATACAACAATAAAAATATAATCGGAAGTATGAAGACCAAGATGGTGTGGCCTTGAGTATGATCGCGATCTCCTTTCGTTGTATCTAAGTTGTTTGACTTTGTTTTCGCAACTCGGTCATATTGGCGGGCACCTATTTTGGAGTACATAGCAAGCTTGATAACTTCCAGTTGGACTGTGGACTTGGCACATTTCCAGACGTTTCGTCGGCATCATCAGTGAGCCTTGCTAGTCTTAGCACCACACTACAACTCGTCAAAGAGACACATGAAACCGATCCTTTGACCAAATGTGTGCTAAACAGTTGTGGTATCTCTCCTGTTCTGAGCCATTTACCTATCCTATATCCTCATACCACTCCATCATTATACAATTTCTTAATTGCTTATTTAATGGGATATGATAGGCCCTCTTGGACGGATTTCATGAGACCTCTTCACACCCCTACCCCTCATCCTTGTGCTAGGAATGTTGATCTGAGTCTGCCATATCAGTCCGAAATTATCTTCGCATAGGTCTTCTATCTCCATGGGTCGTTGGTAGCAGCTAAGGCCTTCTATACAGAACCATCAAGGTCTCATCAAATACGTCCAAGAGGGCATATCATATTACATTAAATAAGTAATTAAGAAATTGTATAATGATGGAGTGGTATGACGATATAGGATAGGTAAATGGCCCAGAACAGGAGAGATACCACAACTGTTTAGCACACATTTGGTCAAAGGATCGGTTTCACGTGTCTCTTTGACGAGTTGTAGTATGGTGCTAAGACTGGCAAGGCTCACTGATGATGCCGGCGAAACGGTCCAACTATGGAAATATCACACATACAATGGACTCTGGACTAAATCGGTTCATCTGAATCTTCCTACAAATATGACCAAGTTGCGAAAGCAAGGTCAAACAACTACAATATGAATTATATTTTACCCTGCATATAGGATATTCAAGGGGTTACAGTCTGCGCAAAGAATTCGAATGGGATAAGGGATGAGAATCGTACGTACTTCGAAAATATGAAGAAAAAACTTGGTTTCGAAGAATTCCTTATTGATATATTGTGACATGACTTTCCAGTTCGAAGGAATTCGTGATGTGGTCTCACCGAAAACCGGAGGATTGCCACGTAATGAGGACCGTTGAATTGTGCGAAGTCCTCGGCTCACCGTCCTGCGACCCCGGTGAAATTGCTAAGCTTTCGGCTGTACTGTTGTACATCATCATAGCGGGTATCCATACTTGACGAAATATACCAAAAATATGCTAGACCAAGGAAAAGGTGGCCGGCCTCAACCCTAGTCGCTTTTTATACGCCTCAACTCGGACTCTTAGTGAGGCACCCCATGATTTGGCTGGTTATAAAGATAAATTAACTTTCTTCAATAGTTCATTCGTTTAAAAAAATTTTAGACCCTCTTTCCAGATTAGGCTGCTACATGTGTTAAGGTCTATTTGGGGTAGATCCGCCGACCAATTCAGAAGAGGGCAAGTGAACACAAAACCAGACGCGTTTCGCGGGTTAAGGGGACTTCACATCAAAATGTAAGATTATGGAGCCTATAGAAATTAACAAAACAGCCAGCATACTGAATAGGAAAAGTGAGCGTAGGAACTGTTTGTGGTTGTTTGATAGGCTTAGTGAGATAATGAGAGAGAGAGGGAGTGCAGTAAGAACCACTGAACAAGAAAAAGCTGGAGTAACCTCGAGTCTAGCTACGACTATCACACTTCCCATTGCATGAACATTGCATACACACAATAGTAAATAGCACTAGCTCAAACATGGTTCATTATTAGACGATCGTACACTAGTTTATTTGCGTAAGGAAACAGGTACCGCCGAACGCACTTCCGGTTCGGGAAACAACTTCACTCACTTGCAAATGTGTATAGTTACTTTGAAGTTAGCCAACCAAATCATGAGAAGCCTCATTAAGATCGCGATGTTAGGTGTGTAAAAAGCGATTAGGCTTACAGTTGGCCACCTTTTCTTTTAGTTGAGTACATTTTTGTTCTATTTGGTAAAGTATGAATTCTTGTTCTGATGATGTCTGTCACAGTAGACGAAAGCTTAGCACAGGTCCATCGGGGTGGCAGAACGGTGAGGTGAGGACTTCTTCACACAATTCAATAGTCTTACGTACGCGGCAATCCTCCTTCGGTTTCCGGTGAGACCACATCACGAATTCCTTACAACCAACTTTTCCTTC